TCTTGAGGTCAACAGTGCGTGCTCCGTGAAGTGAGTGGGACACGCCCACCGCAGAGTGGTTGTTGGGCAGCCGCCACCTTACCACTACTTAAAAAAAAGAAATCCTTTTAGTTCCAGCCTCTTCCTCTTCCCCTCCCACTTTTTTTTCCTTCTCCCCATCTTTCAGGAGCAATGACCTGACCTAGCCATACCTGCCCAGTAGGCAACTGCTTCTTCCCCCACCCTCCACTTCATTTATGGCAGGCAGTGGCTAACACTCGTCCAAACTGCCTTCAGCTGCTTAGCCCGGACAGCTGTTGGAGACCTGTGCCCGCGTCTTCGCCCACTGCACAATGTACTCGGAGCCAGGGGATGAGCCCACCAGTGCTGCCAAACTAGGGGCCAGCGTCACACCCCCTCCCCGTGCCCAGACAGAATACAACAGAGAGATCCAGGTACAGCATCTGAGCATATAACGAACAACTGAATGCAACAACATGGTAAGGTCTCGGAGACAGCAGGCAGCTTCACAATCACACGCTCAAACAGGACGAGAGGGCTCCACGCTCAAGACCGGAGAGTCTTCTGGAGGAAGCAATGGCATTGGAACGACCTGTCCCAGACTTCAAAAGCATAACTGACCCTCCACCCGATCAAGATGTGCATGTCACAGGACACCACCCAGGGCAATGATGGACCGCTCGAGCCCAACCTCCAGGAGGTGCTCTTCCGCACCTTCTAAACTGCCTGCTACCTGTCCTCTGTTGGTACTGTGTATTCCCAAAACAAACTGTATCCGTGCCTCAGAAAGGATTGCCAATGAAATAGCTACGAGGTGTTTTATTCTCAGTTTGTGCCTTGCACTGTTCTTCATACGTAACTTATGCCTCACAGCACACAGGCCCACGAAGCAGAAAGACCTGGGCTCTCAACCTGGGTAACCTAGGTGACCACGCACAGCGTCACCAACACCTCACGAGCAGCTCACCTCACCTCTCCTTAAGTGTCCTTCTCCGGAAGGCGAGAGGGACCACACCCTCACCTTGCTGGGGTAGCCTGAGCTTGTAATGCAAATACAAAGGACTTAGCACCACCGTGCCAGCTCTTCCTCCTCGAAGCTTCCCAGACTCCCTGCCATCAAGTCCACTCCGACTCATGGTGACCCAGAGGACAGAGTAGACCTGCCCCTGTGGGTTTCCAAGGAGGCTGTAGCTCTTCACGGAAGTAGAAAGCTTCATCTTTCTCCCACAGACAGCAGCTGGTGGTTTTGAACTGCGGACCTTGTGGCTGGCAGCCCCACTCGTAACTCCCAGAGCCTTCAAAATCATCCTACCAGCAGCCATCATTACGATTATGTTGACTATCACGAGTAGTGACAATTCCACGGAGTACATGTGATCATCCCACGTTAAAGAAGAGGCAGCCAGAAAGGGGAACTTAGTCACCTGCAGTCCCAGAGACCCTGATCTGGCCTTGACCCCGTGGCCCTGGACAGCTCAGCTCTCTTCCCCTGTCATGGGACTCTCAGGTGGCCAGCTGTAGAAACTGGGTCTGGCTCATTTTGGGAATTTTTTGAGAAAGGGCGGTTTCACCAGGCTTTGGAAATAGCTGTTGCACTCACGGTCACCCAGCAAGGAAAGGACAGGCCCTTGTTCAAGCGGAGGTTCACCCTGGGTAGCATTGTAGGTGGCTTTCTCCCACACAGCACCCAGGGCTGAGGCGGCTTCTTGGTGGGGTGGGGTTGTTGCTTGTCTAGTAGGCTTGTCCTCCCTTCACTCTGCCCACGGTGTCCATTCCAGGAGAAGAAGCAGATGGGTCGTGCTTGGTGGGGAGCCCATCCTCCACCAAGACAGCCTACGGGGCAGGCAGTAAGGCAGATCAGTGTCAGACAGCTGAGGTCCTTCCCCGGGGCCAGACTAGACGGGCTGAGAGCCCATCCAGAGCTGAGTTCTGTGACCTCCAACCTCAAAAACAGCAGCCTTGTCGGCAAGGACTGCGGGGAAGCTCTGGCCTCGCACTCGCAGCCCCTGCCCCATCTGTATGCTATGCTGTGCTGTGGGGTGTGTTTCTGCACCTTGGACCAGCATCCAGCTCCCAGTCCCTTGTCAGAGGAAGCAGAGGCCTTTTGGAAGCCTGCTCTGCAGAACAGAGCATCTGGGGGCCATCCAAAGCATCATTGGCTTTGATGGGGCCGCTTCCCACGATGACTCCCCCTTTGCCTCTGGTTAGCAGTGAAAGCTGTGGGAGCTTTGGCCCACAGTCTGCGTGGGTTTATGGAGTTTTATTCTGGGGCCTTGCAGTTGGGACTTAAGGCAACTGTTACAGCCTGGTCTGCTGAGTCTGAGGGCCCAGCTGTGGGGAGAGAGAGGCTGAATTCAGTCTGCTGCCCTGACTTGGGGTCTCCCTACTCGCCATCCTGTGAGCCAGGCTTGGGGTTGCCAGGGCACGCTCCTTGTAGAACCATCCGTTTAACAGGGGTTTGTGGAAACCCCCCCGTGGGGAGGATGTGCTCACAGGGTCTTCCCAGAGGTGAGGTGCTTTCCCCCAGGCTGTGCAGCTGTTGCGAACACTGACCTACAAGAGGAGCCCTGGGTCTAAAAGAGAAGTGGCTGAACTGCCTGGAGGTGAACTGTGGGCAAGCAAGATGATGCAGGGCTCTCCCCGCTCCCTTCCCTGCCTCCACCACCTCCCTCGGTGGCCTCACCCAGAGCCCTAGCTTGAAGATGATTCCCAACTCACATACCCAGCCCTGCCCACGACTCTGCCTTCCTGACTTGACTATCCGGTTCCAGCCTGGCGGCTCTTCTTGGACATTGTCTACAACCAGCTCTGACTGCACAAGAGTCAGAACCTATGTCTCGATTCTCCTGTCCATGCCCACACTTCTTCCTCCCACTTTCCCTCACGCTTGTCAGACGCTCCACAGCACTAGTCATTACAGAAACGCAAGCCATCCGAACCAGAAGGCGATCCGACTTCCCACCCATCAGGAGTTAGGACAGTAAGACCAGGGAGTGGTAACCAATGTGGGCTTGGACAGGAGGCCAGTGGAGAGCTCACACATGGCTGGCAACGTGGCCAGGTGAAATAGCGCAGCCACTGTGAAAAACGGGTGGGCAGGCACCTCACAAAATCAAACAGGAGCTGCAAGGTAGCTCCCCAGAGAAACGGAAGCATGCATCCTCACCAAAAGTCCTGTACCCAGTGGTTACTGGCACTCCTGTTCACGAGACCAAAGGTCCACTGCTGGAAATGAACTGATGCCGACTCACAGCCGCCCAGGGCAGAGTTTCCGCAGGTACAGGAAGCCCGTTAGTGGTTGCTGGTGCCCAGGAGATGAGGGGGTAAGCGGGGCACCGGAGCTCCTCCTATGATTATGAACATGGTGGCACACCACCTTGAGAAGCCACTGGAATACACCGAGTCACCCACTTTCAATGGCTGTTTTTGTGGGGTGTGAATTCTGCCTCAATTTAAAAGAGGCAAAGAGGCACCCTGTATTTGTTACCCAGCCTCCCCAAGAGTAACACCCTCTATCGCTGTCGTGCAGTATACAGGCCAGGAGAGAGCAAAACCTTGGCCCAGAGCCAGCAGGTGTGACACACACTTGTGTGTGTGTGTGTGTGTATGTGTGTAGTTTTATCACTGTGACAGTTTCATGTAACCCACCCCCAGATACAGGACCAGGTCATCTCCCGACAGGGATTCCCTGGCACTTGGCATGGTGCCTCACCTGTCCCTAACCCCAGACCAGCCACTGGTCCATTTCCCAACTGACTCGGGTAGTGTTTCTTTTCTTAAAATGTTACATAAGGGACCATACACCTTCTGAGATGGACGTCTCCGCTCCGCACAATGCCCTTGGGATGCATCTGGACAGCCCTGCTATCAGTGGTCTGTGGGGAGAGGAGGAGAGTCCCCCACAAATCATCACAGGTCCGGTAGGCGCAGTTGTACAGCGATAATAAGTAAAGATTATAGTAAAGTCATAGAGAGCATGAGAGGTAGAGGAGAGACTGGAATAATGGAGTCAGACACATTTCATGGTAGCAAGCTCACCTCAGCCTCGCTTGATGGTCCTCGTGGGGGGAGCCCGGCCAGGAGAGCAGGAGCGAGAGCAGGAGAGACCCCACTTTATTGCTAACCAAGGGTTATCTCTCATCGGGGACATGATTACAGGTAACCACACGTCACAGGAAGGGGCAGTACAATAGGCATACACATCGTAGGAAGGGGATGTATGATAGGCATAAGCGTGACAGGAAGGGGATAAGCTAGGAGTGTGCCCATAGGAATGGGAAGGTTTAGGGGTATACATGTGACAAGATGGGCAGACCATAGATTCATGATGGCGTCCTAACCTTGGTCATCCTTGGGCAGGTTTGACTTCTCTGGTGTCTCCTACAAGGAAACAGACAACTACTATCCTTTCAGAAGGGAGTGGGCCCTACTTGTTGTGGGATAAACAGTGGTGTCTGCTTGCTCTAGATGGCTGATAGCTCTCAGGGAGAATGGCCCCCAATCCACTCCTGATGGCCTCCAAGTGTAGTCATTCACAAGCAGCTAAGTTTGGCATGTATTTGCGGAAGACAACTTGGGAGAAATCCTTGTTTCCCATAGTGGTCTTTGCCCGCTTTTTCTGTGGGAGAAAACCGCCCAGGTGCCAGGCTGGCAGGCAGACAGTGCCTGCTGCTGCTCCTCCCTACCGTGGGGGCCAGGAAGAGGGTCAGGGTTTTCTGCTCCTGTCAGGAGTTCAGCCTCGGAAACCAGAAAGGCCACTCCTCTGTCCCACGTGGCCATGTGTTCACGTTTTCTTGAAATCCGAGCTGCTCCTGAGGGC